GGCCCACGACCTGGAAAACAGGATGTGTGAAATTTAGATATAGGCTTAGAGCAGCTTGTGCCATGCGGAAAGGAGAAGAATGTAGATAGTTACGACAGGGGGCTGTCCGTTAAACCGTTTAACCGCAGCCTGTAAGGACACAATAGCCTTTAAAGTGACGTGTAGACAAAAGCCCCAAATATGGATAACTGTAAATAAGGGCAAGGGTCTTCAGAGGAGAGTAGTGGGAGATGTAAACTAAGGCGGGACAAACGGAAGTTGTATTTGGGGTACCTGATAGGTTGTGAACTCCATAGTACCTGACTAATGAGGAGCTGGGGAGGGAATTTGAGAAGTATAAAGATTGTGACCAAATTGTATTCAGGACTCCTGCCGCCTTACGGGCTGGAGTCCTTTTGTTCTGGTACCTTAATAAAAGCAACCCTTTATTCTGCACCTCGTGTTTGGATGTCTTTTGGCTTCGGCACCAAGCTCAGACCCATTTTGTGGCGAAACACTGCAACACCCATTTCACCCTAAGTTCAGCCTTGGTCACCAAGAATTGCCCATCCCAGATCTACGGGGTGTAGAAGATCACTGTCCCTGTTCCTTTTTATCTTCACAACAACCCTTTCAATCAAATTCCCTCTAGAAACGCAACTATACTTTTTTGATACAAGAATGGAACAGCAAGGAGATCTAGGGCAATTGGGCAGAGATTTTTATTAATTAAAGGAATGTGGCCAGACTATTTTGTCTCAGTACAAATTTGCTGTTTTAGGATGAAACCAAGGAGATGAACTTGGTATGTAAGAGTTAGGAAAAGTTTTAAGAACAGGTTGGAATCGCTTTAGGTATAAGTTTAAACTTTATGGGCTTACAGTCAGACCTCAAGAGGAAGTAGTTTCAGTAGCTAGAAACTGATGGAAAGTTTTGCCTTTGCACAGCTAAGAGAGGAAAAGCATAAGCAAGCATTGATCTACAGTGTTTCTCAACCTTGGCAACTTTAAGATGTGTGGACTTCAACTCCCAGAATCCCTCAGCCAGCATGGGGATTCCCCAGCTATATAACTCGCCGCCATTTCTGCAATTCAATGTAATTTGCTGCCAAAAAAGGCATTTTCCTTCACAGAATTTCATGAATTTCCAATTAATGCCATGCTATTGGTTATCTGGGGAATTTGTACTTTTTTTTTTTTAAATTTATTTTAAATTTATTTTAATTTATTTTATTTTAAAAATAAATTTAAATTTATTTTAAATTTATTTT